GAGTGGGAAAAATGAAGCCGGAAACGAGCACGAAAAGTGTTAAAGGAAGCCTGAAACGAGCACGAAAAGTGTTAAAAGAAGCCCAACAACGAGTGCAGATGAAAGAAATTCCTTTTGTGCCAGAGCGTTGATATTCAATCAGCAGCACTCATATATTCATCATCATCATCACCAGCAGCAGAAGCAGTAGGAGCCGCAGTAGTAGCACTCATATCATCATCACCAACAACCTCCTGCCTGCCGCCCCATCTCTGGGCGCACATTCCACATTCCACCTAGGCCATCATACATGATTGACAAACCAGATCACGTAGTGAATCAGTGATGAATGTTTTTATGCTTATTGTTGAGTTCACTGAGCGAAATGAGTTGTTTGTCTGTCCGTGGGCTCACGTATGTGCCAATGTGTGGGCATTAGCCAGCACTGCGCGTGGTACTGGTGCTAGCTGTGGTAGTGGGAGTGAAGCATGGCACGTGTTGGTCTCGATCTTCCTTCCAGCGAAAGGATTATAAATACAAGAATTTGGTAAATTTAATTCTGATAGTTTTCAGGATCAACTCGAACAGGGTACGAGTATCAATAGATCATAAGTCATAGAATTTATGTTCTTTTCTTGAATCCTTATCAAAATTATCTAGACTTTTTAACCCTCAAAATATAATTTGTACGAAAAGAAACGCAAGACTTATGATCTTATAATCTTATATTTCAACAAGAATTTTTTATAAATTTCGAATATAAGAATACCTTTATATCATTCAGTTAAGCTTTCTTGTCCGACATTTACTTCTTTATATTTCCCCTTTTGTATATTGGAAACATTTTCATGTAAACTGTAAATAATTTTCTGGCAAGTACAAATCTGTTTTAATATTTTTTTCTATTTAACAATTTCAAGTATTTAGCTGGGCAATTAAATACTAAACAACCAAAACCAAAATTAAGATACTTGACTTATATTTTAGAATTAATTTTCCACGAGCCATTTTATCTGATAGGCTACCACCTGTTAGCTGTATGAATTTTCATATGATTTTCCCCTGTCACATTCCTCGTAGGTCCCTATTCAAATGTTTTTTATAACGATGATCAACCAAACTTTGGCTAGACAGAATTCTACGCATTACTAATCCCCCTTTAAATATATATCTGCATAGTGTTCCCACCCACACACAATACTTGCAATTTTATAAAAATGTATCCTTTTTTCGATAGACCGCAAACAGCACAAAAATATGACTAATTTAAAATGTTTTTCCGCCAAGGCTCAAGGGCTTCAAAGTAACCGAGAAACAGATACAAAAATAAAAACCGCAGCCAGGGCTGCCAGCCACAACTGCGGCTGTTGGCTGTTAGCTGCTGGCTGCTGGCTGTTGCATTGCTCATTCTGCACAAAATGGCAATTGAAATTATTAACATTCATAACATTCATGAATGACAGTCATCGTCATCGCTGGGGCGGCCAATCGATGTGGTTTTCGAAGGGGTTTGCGTTTGGGTTTGAATGGATGTGTATAATAAATTAGGTTGATTGCTGTGGGTATTCGGAACTCCCTTCATTTGCCCTCCCCACTTCCCACTGCCCCTCTGTGCAATTGCCTGTGATTACTTGGGGCAATACTTTTTCCCCTCCCACAGTGCAAAATGGGAAAATATTTGTTTGTGCTGGCACTCGAATTTCTCAGAAAACGAATCAACTCTTTTGGAATTTGATTACCAGTTTTCGTCCTTTGGCCCATCATCAATTATTCGGTTGAGGGGGCGGCCAGTGGCAAGTGTCACGGGGACTCCCGCAGGCAATCTGAGGAGAAGGCGAGCAACAATTGCAATAATTAGCGAATGATTTAAAACCGTCAGTAATCATCATTACCGTTGTCGTCGTTGTCGCTGTCGTCTCGTTCTCATCTCCTCCTTTCCTCAGTCGATTCCTGGTTATGTGCCTCGTCCAGGTCCAGTTACTACGTCTGCTCCTGGTCTATTCACTGCTGCCATCATTAACAAAGGCAAAGGGACCAAACACCAGGCCCGTACCGCACCATTGGACGGACCAACAGGACCGCAGGCATTTTCATTTCAGCTCGTGAAAATTTCAAGTGAAAATTTCGTTTTGCGACCGGCGCTAATGACGATAAATTGCGTCGCCATCGCACGGACAACTATAAATAAGTTACGCTTGGCTTCTGCACGGGTTCGACTTGACTCCTGACCCCATTTCGGGGGTATCGTATACCCATCAACGTTTGGTGGTAGGCTTAAAAATGCTGCGCAATGCGCTTCTATTCCGCCACTGAATGTTATTTCGATTTATCAAATTTTAGATCGAAAGGGTATCTTGAATGCAGTCAGATTAGGTGAAACGCTATTTAATCTATAAAGCGGAAGGGCTGGTTTTACTTATGCATGAAATAAATCAATTACAGAAGTTTGAGAAATTTTAGATGAATGAATATTGGATATGGATATTCATTTGCAGCTTTTTCTTTGTCTCATAGTGATTCCCTAGAACAGAGACGAGCAGAAGAGTGCCAGAGAAGCGGGGACTTTATTAAGTTATACTCAATCAGGGGACACAAACAACACTCGAGTTGTTGCCCAGTTTCAGTTTTCGCTCCACAGTTGGCCATGGCAATGGCACAGCAAATAAATGAAACGAAGTCTTCGCACTCTGAGTGGAAGTTGTCGCACTAGCAGTTGTAGACCCTGCCCCATTCGACCATTTGTAGTCCTAGTCAGTCACCCACTTGGTCAGTCACTTGTGCTGCACATTCAAGTGTCACTGATTTGAGGATAAGCACTTCACAGGCAACTTGATAGCCCTCTTTCCTCACGCCCTCTGGATTCCAGCAATGAGCCCACTCCGGGGACGGATTGAATTGGATTTGCTTGGGATTCAGGCTGGGGCTTGGGTCGGTTGGTTGGTTGGTGGTCAGTCAGCCGTAGTTGGGAAAATATCACAGCAGTACGACGCTTTCATTCGAGTGCCACTCGTGCAAAACGAACTAATTTGAATATATAAAATCAACGGCAACAACGGCCAAGGGGGCAGGCGAAGCCCCACACACAGACTGACAGGCAGATGGACTAACAGACAGACTAGCCAGACAGATAGACGGCAGAGAGCAGAAACCCCAACCGAATGACTGAATGAATGACTGGCAAAGTGAAATTGATGAAAACAAAAGCCGTCAATTTGCTGTAGCCATCTTTAATTGATATTCCCTTCACCGTACGGAAAACAGTTGACAACCCTGGCAGAAAAGGGGGGTTGCATTTGATTGAATGGAAGAAATAAATGAATCTGATTTGAGAGGGCAAAAGTCTGGCAAATTATGAATTTGATTAACTTTTGTGGGTGATCTTTTGAAGGGTTTTTTCAAGCACTCCTTGGTAAAATATTTCATATTAAATTAGTCTCAAGGTTTAGTCTGTGCATTGAACAATAAATTTACTCCTTACATAAACATTTTCCATTTTCCCATAATACCCTTTTTTCTTTGATCCGTTTTTAATGTATTTGTGCACATTTTTCCTATATTTTCAATTAAAATATCCCCCGATTTCTAGTTAAGCCAACAGACACACAATTTTTATATACATATCATATGTAGAAATGCTGCCCACAAAATGGCCATTCAAGGGCTGGCCAATAAATTAGCGCAAGTAATTTGTGCAATTAACTAAAAAAAAAGTAAAAACCACTATTAGTTCTCGATTCTATGCGCAAATGCAATCCATTGGCCATAAATTAAGCAAATGGCTAACGACTGACTAAGTCGCGTGGGGCAAACTTTCTCTCTGTGGAGTGTGGGGGCGTGGCAGAGTCAACTAATTTATGTTTTAACACACTCGCACATGCAAATTAGTGCACACATATGGAATAAATTCAGCAAAGAGAGAATGCTATATAAGAGAGTGTTGCGACACTGAGATGCTTGTTAATTAGGTGCGGCCTTTGATGATTTAAATAAGATTCCGAGATTATACAAATCAAACTCCTATATTCCTATTCACTTCTGTTGACAGGAAGAATCTTGGATTAGATCATTTAATTTAGAAAAAATCGAACAAACCATGAAAACCGATTCTGTCTAGCTGTTACAAACATGTACATGACCAGAACACACCCTGATTTTCTGTGCGTGTACAGGGTACAATAAATTCATATATTTTACAACGGAATGGGGCACGAGAGTACACATAATGAGCTCAAGTTTGGTCTGCGTTCTGGCTGTGGTTCTTTGCGGTGTGGCGACTGGCAACAACTGTTGACAAAATGAAATCAATAAATTTTGAGCGCAAATCAATTAAAATCCACAGAGAATCCATCCGAAAGGTCTGCACTCTTGTGTATTCTCCCCCAAAATCAAAATATTTGCCAATTTGCGGTATTCATAAAATTAAATTTGTCCCACAAAAACGCACACAACACCCACACAGACACACACACAAGTTAATAGCGAGAGGATTTTCAGAAACGAGTATTCTAATTTATTTATACGGCTTATTAAAATTGTTGTAAGTTGTAGTATTTAATTAAAATTGTTGTCAAATTTGATTTGTGTCATGCCGCCCGCCCACTGCAGCACTAGGGCAAAAGTGACAGTTCAACCAACAATTTATAAATCAAATTAAATGCATATTCTGTGAATTTGTATAGAGAAATTCCACTGTAAGGCAATTCCTACAAACAGAATAAACAGATTATTTGCTTACGAAAGGCTAGTTTTTGTCAGTTCAAATTGAACATAGAATTTGATTAATGAAGCAAGCAGGATAGAAAGGTAAATTAACCTTTAAATTGTTTTAAAATTCAGTCTGTAATTAATTTAAGAAATTATTTTTACATTAACACATAATATTACCTTTGTAAGAAATGCAATAGTTATTCGGCGAGAAATTTTTCTAAATGTCAGACAAGAATTTGATTTATTTCACTCGGCCTACTCAGGATATTTGAATGCCATCAAAATATACCTATCAGAAATTTACAATACGTACTATAAAGTAGGCCCATATAATATTCATCAAAACAGTAAAATCTGAATTGGAAATCGTAGTCTAAAAATAGTTGTATTGTATTTACACTTTTTTTGTTTGCGCACATTTAATTTTCTGAAAGATGTCCAGTGATAGCAATAACGAATCCCTCGGCGAAATCAAACGCGAGGAAGGCGGTGAGGTGCCCGGAGGAAGACGCCTCTTGACAATCGATGAGACCTGTTCCCCTGGAGTGAACCGACTCTGGTCCACAGTCGAGGATACCAGCGGGATACCAGCCGATGAGGCCCCCTGTTGCAGTAGCACCCTGCTAGGACTTGGGGCTCCAACTCCCAGTCGCACTTGGACAGCACTTGGTGCCCCGGAAAGCAGCCGCACACGACAGGAGAAACGGCTCAATCCCAATGCTGCGGTATTTGTGCCAGGCGTCACAGATCACATAATTGCTGACAAAATTTCAGAGTGTAAGTTTTAGGCCCCATTTTAATAATAATCCATTCATTCTATTGATCTGCAGTGGCCTACTACTCGCCCTGGAGCATTATCGGCTGTCCGCAAAATATATCGTGTGGACCGCGATACGATAGCATTTGGCGCGAGAGCAGCTTACAACTGCAGCTGCCTCATTCGAGCCCGGCTCAGGATATGATCATAGCAGAGCCGACGCAACCACCACAAAACGTAAATGTTGAGGTTTCACGAGATAAAGTAAAGCCAATGATAACAAAGCGCCCAAAGGGGAATAAACAAAAGCAGGAGCAGGAACCGGAGGACGAAGTAGAAGAAGAACAGGAACCACCCAAGCCAACTAAAGATAAAAAGAAACTCTTGAAGATCCCTGCTGGGCTCAAACGAAGCTGCAGCCTCATGTAAGAGCCTTTGACACATGATCAGAAGGAAACAGAGCCGAAGCAGCCACAGCACTTAAATACCGAGGTTATACGGGAAGTGGAGAAGGTACTGAACAGGAACAGAAGGAGAATAGATCAAGAAACACAATTACAGAATTTGTACAATCATCATTCGATGGATGTTATGTCTACTGCACAGATACGATATACAATATGTAATCCTACACACTTATCGAAATATTGTACGCCCACTTCCAAACTAAACGTCCGATTAAACCTCAATCAAAGCTGCACAATTGAAGAATTCAAATCAATTAAGTGCTGCAATTAGAAGAGGCCCTTACAGACTCCTTTCAACAACTGCATTTGAGTAAGCTCTCGTGGAGAGAGGTCGACTCTACCTATGACATAATTTATAGTCTACATTTTAGCGCCTTAAACGGGTTTGTTTTACTTTCCCTGGAGAGCTGGAGAAGGCGCCTGTCCATGTCGTGCGTTGCCTTGCTGCTGCCTTCAGCTACTTTGTCCTGACTTTCTAATGATGTTGAATATGCATGGAAAACTTTTGCCTTACGCAAAATTTTCTTGCAGGGAAAGAAAACTTGATTCACCTGTCTATGGGTTGCGTGGACAACTTGCGCGTTGCACCAGTCGCACAGCAGGCATCCTTTCCCCATGCACACCCCCTTTTGTCTGTTAAGCAAAGTGGCGACAACTTTCCTTTTTACGCCTTGATTATTTTACTTTTTAATACGCGGTATTTTGCAGATTAAAAGGGTATGCAGCAGTCGGGTAAGAGTTGGTAACAGGCAGAAATCTACCTACCTTCTATTTTAATCAATCTCTGCTGTGGTCTGACTTCGGAGTTTTTTTTAATTAAATGCACTCTTTTTTATAGATTTACACATTAAAAATCCCTTAAGGTATCCTCTAGTCGCATGATCGATCATAGCATTACTAGAAGCTCAAAAGGTGGGAGAGAGAGAGGGCCAGTGTGTGGCATAATGAGAAAAGTTTCATGTCTTTTCATGTCTCATTTAGAGAGGGGCTGACAGCAATGTGGGCCAAAAGGGTTGACTTCCACAAGACAATGGCCGTGGTGTGTCCTTCTCTGGCCTGTCCTGATTATGCTGATCTGCCCGGCATGTCCTGATCTGTCTAGCACTCCGTTCTGTTATATTCTGTATCCAATTTCTCATGCGTTAGGATGACGCAGCTGCCCATGACTTTTGAATGATTAAAATGGCCAAAAGGAGGAGCATTACCAGCTGCAGAGATTGTTGGCGAAAACAATTACCAAGTTGTATGCAAAAGCGCCAATGGAGGACGAAACTTTCACGCCGCTCAATGTCAGGCCAGGACATGTGGCAGGCACCACCTGTGCCACACACTCACACACCCAATCCTTGGCCGACAAAAAGGATTGGCAATTTTGTGCCAATTTTCTCCGCCTTCTGTTTGTTTATGAAACAAGTCACGTAAACGTTGTTGTGTGTCCTCGTGGAAACCCCGTTCCCCTGCCGCTTCTCGTATATCTCTGCCGGGGGCGTTGAACCGGGGGTCTCACACTCAGACATCTGGCTAAATGGGCGTGCCATCACCTTGTTGTGTTGGCGGGTGCTTGGTCCTTGGTCCTTGCTCCCTGCTTCTCCTGTCCTTCCTTTCCCTGGCGATTGTCATTGGCATCGAGAATTTAGCAATTGGCAAACGTCACGAAAGTAGCACCAAAAAAACCAAAAACTTTCACGATCTTTCGCACCCTTCCTTTTGGCCGCCTCCTGATTGTTGATTTGCTAAAGTTTCTCTTTTGATTTTCTTTTTTCCCCTTGTTTTTTCGCTTGTTTGTTTTGTGCCCTGTTTATTGCATAAAATTTATGCCCGTATATTGTGCAATTGAAAAAGTTTGTCATATTTCACTGATTTTGCGCTTGTTCCGTCATCGTTACAGTGCGTTCCATAGTTGTAGGGAACTGTGGTTGCCTTACCATTCAATATCAATGAAATATTCAAATCTGCGAATGTGCATATTCCACTAACATATTAATTTGGTTTCCAACGGTTTGGTCTCTTCACTTTTGAAGCGCACTGTACGGCGGTTAGCTCTTCATCGATGTAGAGTAGGCCGCAACCAGAATGTTGAAACAAGGGGAAACCAGAGCCGCTGGCAGAAACCATTATTTATGCATCGATTTCAAATCACTAAAAACAGAAAACCAAAGAAGAAAAAAACTTGCAAAAAAAGAAGAGTTACGAATAAACACAATAACAAAACGGAAGGCGGCAAATAAATAGACAACAGAGTCGAATATGAGCAAACAATGCATGCAATAAATATCCGTACATTTATGCATATGAATGTTAGGATATGTATGTAGGATATATAGAAATGAATTTCGTGATATTTATGTCATGATATGGCAATCAGTTCAATGACCAACAGAAAGTTTGTCTTTTCAAATATAAGGCCCAATGCTAACTATGTATTATTATAGCTCGAGTATGGATATCTGTCGTTTATTCGATATCAGAATTTTCCTCGTCACTTTTAACATTGGATGTATTCTCGTTGCAGCAGTAATTACACTCGCGTGTTTTTTCCAAAGGGTTTTCATAAAAATTGACGACTTCCTTTGGTAATTCCTCCTTTTTAGCTTCTTGTTGAGTATCCTCGTTTGGTGGATAGGTGACTTTTAATTCTTTGGTAATTAAATCTAAAGCCGTTCCTAAACGGCCTGTCAGTTGGGAGAAAAATATCTCCCTTGCCATTTCCAATAATTCTTGGGCCACTGTTTTTATGGGTATCTTGCGGAAACGCTTCTTTTTAATTGACTTTTTCTGACAATTTTTAGGTGACTTGATGATGTCGTACTCGAATTTACATTCCATAAGCTTCGTTTCGCCGTGCGGTAGGAACAGGCGCTTCAACTCGTCGCTAAAGTCCTCATATTCGTCTATATCGTCAAAAGATCCTGGCATGGCAACGAAGTTCGCAAAAAAATATGTTTTTACATCATTATAGCGTTCAATGGACATTTTCATCCAAATATTTCCACTTTGGACGGCTGCATTATAACCCTCGCGCCATCCCTGGTGGTATATGGATATATTAAGCGGTTATTGTGTAGAATGCATTGTCAAAGTTATTCCGCTTACCTTAACATCCTTTGCCATTATCATCTTGCATTCGATTTTCTTTTGGTTATCCCTTTCTATAGTTCTTATTGAAAACATAATTAAGATCAATTTAACGTGACGTTTCAGGTAGAAATTTTTGACTTTTTGTCTAGTGTTTTGGGTAAGCTGTGAAAAAGCAGATTTAAAAGAATATTAGTATGAGAATTAGATATGGAGTAGGTCAATAAAAAAAGAGAAAGTTTCCAATTCGTTGCATACAACAATTAAATCGACAACTAATGCTTCGCTACAGCGTTAAATTTTAAGACATTTAAAAATAGTTGCTTCCAGCTATAAAAACATTGGTACTGGTCATTCTCCAGTACATGTACGGGAGTCCTCGTTTCCAAGATTATCACAGACGTCGTATAAAAGACGACTGGGAAATAGTCGCCTAACCTTGAGCGCAGTATACTGCACGCTATCATGTCAGCATTAAAATGCTCCGATATTCCATAATGAGCGCAAAACAAAAAACAAAAATGTTGCTAGACGCGAAAATGAGACTGTATTTATGGTGTGCCAAAACACGCATATTCCTCTTCCCATGCGTCTTCTCAAACAGCCTCAACAATTTTATATCTGCTTCTTCCATTCCTTTTACAATTCCCGCTTACCAACGATCGCAATCTGCTTTAGCCAAACGTTCGCTTTATTCTCCTTGCTCCTTTGCCTTCATTCCCATTTACCGTTCGTTCCGTTTTCGTGTCTGTCTCTTACCAATCGTTCGCTTTCTGCTTCTTATGCCCCCCGCTACAAATTCCTCTTTCAGGACAAGCCGCTCGAAAATGCAAGGCTAAGGGGAAGCGAAAGAGACAGCAAGAGTTGACAGCACTTTTAGTTAAATTGAGCAACAAACACATTTGGCAATAAAAATGATTCCACTTCCAGTTGCAGCCGCCACCCCCACCCCCACGCTCAAATCTTTTCGAACTATGTACTTTGCTGTAGTCGCCCTGTCTCTCTCACACGAGCAATCCTTAGAATCGAAACGACTTCTCTCCTCTCTCTCTTTCTAACTCTACCAACAACTTATTCAGCAGCAAAGGGTACAAAAGAGCAGCGGAGGCGCAAGGAATTGGCGGTATATTTTAAACAAGGTGAGGTATTCCGCGCATTTCGAGGTGCATATTATCCCTCTCTCTCGCTTTTGTTCACAAACACAAACACACACACACAGAGACATATTAATGCTATTAATGAAAAATATGTATTTATTGGAGTCTGCTATCTGCGTCACGTTACATTCATACACCTTGGTATCGCCCTCATTCACTCACATTCGTTTTCTCACTCACTCTTCCTTGCAAAGCACAGTCCCTTCCCAAAAAAAAAATGCCCGCCGCAATGCGCTTGGAAGGAGTTTTGCACATTCCAACAGATTTATTTCACTCGAAATAGTTTCATTTTTGTTGCGTTATTGTTATTGTTGGTTGTTCTTGTCATTGTTGTAAAACTTAGTTGTTGTTTTTGTTGCTGTTATTGTAAGGGTTATTGTTTGCCAGGAGTGACTGTAGAAAGTTTTTCTATTATTTTCAAATTTAACTTTGCCATTTGTTTGATTTTCATGGCTGTTCATGTGTGTGCCCCTTTTAGAGGGGCATATAAATGGGTCTGAGGCATAATAGTTTCTAGTATTTACCAAGTTTTTCCTTTTTGTTGTGCGTTGCGTCCGTTTTCCAATATGAAATATCACATCAGCTTTTCAGCGCAATTCCAATGGACACACCAATACCCTCAAGCGTTGGTGAAGAGGTGTGTGCGTGTGTTGAGAATTTCGTTGGATTTTACGAGCTGACACACAAACGGCAATACATACATATGTATGTGTGTCCAAATTGTGTAAAAAATCTTCAGATTCAAAAAAACAGCACTGATCTACTTTTAATAATGCGCAATAGAATCTAAAACAACAAAAAAAGAACAAAAAATATTTTCAACTATGTATGTACAAGCCACATGGCAAATTTTGTATGTTGGAATACGCAGATGTTGCCGTCAAAACGCAAGTATTTGAGAAAATGAACTATGAATTTAACAATTTAACCACACTTTTATAGTTGACGATCCGCGATTTGGAAATTTAACACAACTCAAAAGCGATTACAGAAGATAAAACACACGACTTTGCTTTGAATAATAAAAAAGAAAAAGCGCAGCCAAATTCGAAAGGCACGTATGTGTTAGAGCTGGAGAAACATCGATGTTAACATCGATTTCGTCGATGTTTGAGTGCAGACATCGATGATTTTTCTGAAACATCGATGTTTTTAGTTAAAAAGAATAATTTAAAAATTTCATACATTAATAATTACAAAGATTAAAAAGTTGATTTTAAGTTGTATATCCTAAATAATATACACATACGGAACACACATACATTCACAAATACACACAGAAAATTTAACCCATTGAGAGCTGCTTCTAGACGGCTTGATGAAATTTTGATATTATAATAGTTTATTGAACAAATAATTGTGCCTCCACGAATACCTAAGAGTAGATGAGTATTTAATCACCATAGTTGTATCCTTAGATACAAATAACTATGTTTTCGACCAAGTTTTGTTATTATATTTTTTTTTAAAACCCTTCGGGACATAATGGGTTAAGCTTACACAACAATTTCAAAAACATCAATGTCTGTTTCAGTTTCTGTTTTCACCACAATCGATAAAAATTAGCAATATTATCACTTAGATAAGCTTGCGGGAGCTCTTTGCAAAAACAAAAACGAAAAAACGAATGGTTAAACTAGTGAAACTGAAAGATATATTTAAATTAATCTGAGCTTTTTTCTTATCGATATATATCGAACGAAGTTCGGATGACAATTCGCTCCAAATAGGAAGAAATTGATCTCAAAACAGTCAGAGGAATGAATATTATAAAATAAACGGTATTTGGGGTCAATCTCTATTTGACAGCATACAAAGTACGTATATAACTGATTTATATCGATGTACGGCAGGCCGCAGTCGATTGCGGCCGTACGGTACCCCTGAAGATCTGCGTTGGCGAACAAACAAAATTAGTTCTCAAAGTTGATCCTGAGTAAATAACTGATAGAAGCCAGATGAGCTATAAACCAACTTCGTTTGTCTGCGATTCGACGGTAAGTGGAGCTGTGGCTTGATACTTTCCAATTAACTATTCTCTTGTGGATCCTCAGTCGCAGTTGGTAGAAGGCTGCACTCTATCTGTTCGTATGCAAAAGACAGGCTTGTGGAAAAGGGCCGAAATTTTGAGCATCAAAACAGAGGGGGGCAAGCGTCAGTACTATGTGCACTTCTTGGATTGTAAGTAGGCTGCAATGTCCAACTTTATTAGTTTACAGGGATTGCCTTTCAGTTAACAAGCGTCTGGATGACTGGGTCGGGGACGATGACCTTAATTTGTCTTCTGTGCGATTTCCTCGCAACCGACATCGCCAAAGAATGGAACTATCTAAAGAATCGCGAAAGAAGTTGCCCGATGAGGATCACACCGTCTCCGACGAGATCACTAAATCACAGCAATCCCAACTGAAGCAGAAGTCGGTACATGAAATCAAGAACGTGCAGTGGATTGAGCTGGGAAGGCATCGCATCAAGCCCTGGTACTTCTCGCCATATCCACAGGTAATGTGCGCCCAGCCGTGCATCTACTTATGCGAGTGGTGCCTGAAGTACGTGTTGAGTGCCACATGCCTGGGTCGCCATTTGATGAAGTGTAATCTTCGCCATCCGCCTGGCGAGGAAATCTACCGCAAGAACACCATATCCTTTTTCGAGATCGATGGACGTCGGAGCCGGACCTACGCGCAGAATCTCTGCCTACTGAGCAAGCTGTTCCTGGACGAAAAGACTCTGTATAACGACATGGATCCCTTTCTTTTCTACATAATGACTGTGTTCGACTCGCGCGGCTTCCATATTGTGGGATACTTTTCAAAGGAGAAGATGAGCGGCGAGAATAATTTGGCGTGCGTTTTGACTCTGCCTCCGTACCAGCGGCTGGGCTATGGCCGCCTGCTTATCGAGTTTAGCTACGCGCTGTCAAAGTGTGAGGGGAAGACGGGCTCACCAGAGAAACCGCTCTCGGATTTGGGACTCTTGTCGTATCGCTCCTTCTGGGCCCAGGCCATACTCGATGTACTCATCAATCAGAAGTACAACGATTCGGAAAATAAGATTACCATTTCCATCAAGTATACGCGTAAAGAGCTTTGCAGTTTCATCTACTAACTGATTTCTTTTTGTTCCTAATAGTGATATCTCTGAAAAAACTGCCATCAGCCCAGAGGATGTGGCTTCCACGCTGAAGCATCTGAACATTATCATGTACTATAAAAGCCGATACATTGTCTGCGTCAAAGGCGATATGGTTAAGAATCATCTGAAAACCAAGACTAAGCCTCAGTTTCGTATTGATGCCGACTGCCTGCGCTGGGTGCCCAAGGAATGGAACGGTACACTAGGAAAAGCCACTAGACATTAAACAAAACGTATCAATAAGCAGGAGTATAACTCATCTTATTTTCCGACTGTGGAACAGAGAAAAGTTTGAATCGACAACCTAGAATTAAACCAACCGTTATTTAAAAATTTTTTTTTCATTTACTTCATTCAAAGTTTTTAAGATGTATGTGGAAGATACGTGGAATAGCGCTTGAAGACTATTCCCGACCGGCCCAGGGCACGCAGAGAAGACGTCTGTGCCAGTAGCACGATTGATTTTTAGGACAGTGATGTCGCCCTTTTTTAAAGCCTTGAACTTTCTGAAAGCTCTGTCTCAACAAAAAAATAAGTAAATATTTGCCGATGGTTACTTGAAGGTTCATCACTGGTTCAGAACCAGAGGTTCATTAGCGACTAGCTTAATTGCACTTTTTCCAACACTGTTCAAAGAAGATGTGTCAAGACGTGCTACTTGTAATAAATTCGTAGGTTTGCCAAAAAGTTCTTCCAATTGGCAAGAAACCTATTCATCAGTATAATTAATAAGCAAAAATGGATCCAATAAACGAACAACAAAACACAAGCGAGCGGAGAATCGATGACGTTGAGGCGGAGGGCCAGTTCATAATGCGAGTTCCCGAGGTAAGCAGACTGTTTTGCTTAATGGCGCATGCTGCTGCATGGCCGTTTTATGTTGCACAATTTTGCATTGCATTGCAGGATCGTGCCGGGACCATTCACGAGGCCATCAGCGATGGAAATGTACACAAGAAATTGAGCATTGCACTGAAGAAAGACATGCGTCAAGGCCAGGTTTGGTTGGATGGGTCTATGCTCTACACAAAGCTCGTCGACTTGCCCACCATCGTGGAAAGCTATAAGACATCGGACAAGAAGAACTTTTACAAGACTGCAGATATTTCCCAGATGCTCATATGCACTGAGCAGCCACAGGAAGTCGAGAGCAAATCATCAGAATCAGACGAAGAGACAGCCAATAAAGTGCCCAAAAGTTACTTGCATCCACATGGCGTTACTCGTCCACTCAAGAACGTCCGCAAGCGTCGTTTCCGCAAGAAAATGATAAAGAGTCCAGAAATGCATGCAAGCGACATCTCGAAGCAGGTAAATTGGCTGCTCACCACCGACAGAAACGCCGTGCGAAGCCAATACGAGCTCATCTACGAGTCCGACCACACAGAGAACATATAGATGTCTTCTAACTGACAGCAACTACAAAGATTATTGTACAAATAAACTGAAATTTGTATCCGCTCCAAAGGAGAGGTCCACCAAGAGAGATTTCACTGTTGATGTTGATTATTAGAGCAAGAATAGACTTTTCATTTGCTTTATTAATAGTTTTGAGGCAGATACAACATAGAATAGCGCTTACAGACGGCGACCACGACGACCGCCCTTCTTGCGTGTGCTATCAGAGGGGATGGGAACGCAGTCCTCGATGCGACCAATCTTCATTCCGGAACGGGCCAGAGCTCGCAGAGCAGACTGGGCACCAGGTCCGGGAGTCTTGTTCTTGTTGCCGCCAGTAGCACGCAGATTGATCTTAAGGGCGGTGATGCTAAGGGTCTTGCACTTCTCGGCGACATCCTGGGCAGCCAGCATAGCAGCGTAGGGCGAAGCCTCGTCGCGATCGGCTTTAACCTTCATGCCGCCGGTGACGCGGACAATGGTTTCGCGGCCGGACAAGTCGGTGACATGGACGAACGTGTCATTGAAGCTGGAAAAGATGTGGGCCACGCCAAAGACGTCCTCGCCGTCGTAAACCTGAGGTCCCAGGTGGACCTGCGTCTCTTCCTTCTGGGCCTTGGATTTTCTGGGAGCCATTCTGAGCCGGATAGGATACGAAGAGAATAGTTTGCAGAGTTTATTCAACTGTGACGTGAAAGCTAAGTGTTGACTATGATATATTTTATTTGTATACGATTTTTTCGTCGTCAATTAAGGTATCGATATTACTTCTCAAGTATCGCCTTGTATTTACTTTTTACTATTCGCGCAACTGTTTAGTTTAATTCAGTTTTATACCTAAGCTTATGAAAAATAGTAGAAAAATATGTTAATTTTCTTAATGAATTAACAAATTATGTATAAGAACTCTAACAAGAATAGCATTAATGATATTTTCGAAGAAAATTACAAAATATATCGATATATATATATATATAACACATCGCAACAAACTTCGGAAAGAAGCGTAAGAAAAATAGATTTACTTGCGGGAAAAGTCCGAGTAATTGCTTTCGCACCAGTAGCTGTATTAATGATACCTAATGATTAAATAAATTTGTCTCATTTTTTAATTTTTATTTTGCATCAACTTTTTAATTTAATTCCCATACGACGCTGTGTGGACGAGTGTATACACCAGAGTTCTGTAAGAATCCACACTACATTCATCTATCTTTCTTTTAGCTTTGACGCCACATTTGCTTAAAAAAGTCTGTTATTACGTATAAAGTACATAACTGGAAGAAAAAATTTAAAAAGTATTATCGGAATCAATAAATTTGTTTGCAGTGAATTCCTTATAGGGTTCATCTGGTCCCCAATAATATTGAAGATGTGGTTTCCATCTATAAGCATCAGTAAGGATTCTCCATTTCTAGAGAATCCAGTATTAGTTGTGTATGGCCATCCACATGTACATAGTTTCTCTCCATCCTGCTTTTCGTTTTCCATTCCCGTTTGCATTTAGCTTTCTGGCTTCCTCTTGCCACCCACCGAACTGCTGCAACACCACAACTGCTACCCCTGTATTCCTTTCTGCTCCTCTAAACAAACACACCTAGACAAGGTGGCCAAATTACTGCCGGTTTGCTGTTGTAGTTGTAGTTGCTGTTGGTGTCGTGGCCGGGTGTCAGAGTGTGTTGCCACCTTGTCGGCCAAAAGCAAGAAAAAATGTGAGCGAACGAAAGAGAAAGAACAGTAGTACAGTTGAAAATGTTGCATTTGTATGCATGGCCAGTCCTGTGTCCTCCTGACTCCCGTTCCGTCTACGCTCCGGCCCCCCTCGACCACACCATCCGTCGCACTGTGGGACATATTGCTATAAGAACAGAAAAATAAGGAAAAGGAATTTTTTTGGATTCATTAGCTATTTTTGGAGCCATTATCTGCTTCGCACCCGATCATTCCCTGCCGAAGCCCATCAATATATGTTTATGAGTGTAGACCACTGTGCGTCGGCCAGTTCGAAATAAACACACACACACACACACTGATACAGGTGAACGGTGTCGCTGCTATTTAGACAAGTGACATATGCGCCATGCACACAGAGCGAGAAAGAGAAGGAGCGAGAGAGGAAGACACGCACACACATGGCAGCTTCATGCAACATGCAAAATGGTGTGTCAAAAAGGAAAGCCGCGTCGGTTTCTGTTTTCCCCCCATACGCCCACCCACCCATCCGTTCTCGCACATATTCTCCTCCCAGAGCACCGCTCGCTCCGACTGTTCGTTCGGCTGCAGCAAACAGATAGCAAAGGACGTTGCTGCAGCCGCCGCAGTCACAGTCTACGCCAGCGCACAGTGGTTCACGGCTAATGAGGTATCTCTCATAAGAAAATATTTGATTATATAATTAGTTTTCTTCCAGAAAAAGGGCTCCGAAAATCTCGTCTATACAAATTATATGGTAATAATATCTTGGGACTTTCAAAAATGCTTTTAAGACACTGTTTCTCACCGGCGCTGATGTTGATGCTGCTGCCGCCGCTTCAGTCCAACACCTGCGGCACCGGCTCCAGCTCCGTCCTTAAAGAGGAAGCTTTGGCAGAGCGCAAATTGCAGGAAGCAACGGGCAGCGAACAAACAGACACACGGATGGACAAACAAACAAACAAACAAAAAACCAAACAGAACTAAACAACAAACTTGTGTGTGAATCTTCAGTTTCGTTCCGTATATTTTTTACTGCTGCTGCTGCTACTGCTGCCATTTTGGCCGTTTCCCGGTTTACCGGTTTGGGCCCTTGTTTTTGACACAGTTCAGAGGAGCAGTCAACGTTATTTTCGTAGTTCTCTAGGAAGACCTAAACTCATTTTTTTTTATTTTTCTCCTGCTGTTGCTTTCCGCTTTTAGTTGCAATTAAACAAGCTACTGCCGAAGCAGACGAGGCAGAAAGCGTACCAACAGCGTACCAGAGAAACAAACATCGCTCATCAGTGCAATGTCCAATTTGCATGCATTCCATTCTCTCTCTCTCTAACTCTATCTCTCACAGTGTCTGTACCTCGTTCTCTTTTTCTCTTCTCTTCAGTTGTAACTCACAATCAGTAGTAGGAGATATTTTAGAAATACGAGTATGTGCATACGAGCGACCAGAAGTGGCTGCTTGAAATTTAATAAAAACATTCACGAATCACAGGAAACTTAAAGAAGTTTCTTTAAAGAAGAAACCGAACTTTTGTTCATCCATCAAAAAATGTCCCATAAGAAATGGAAATCTACTTTATCCACCGATTACTCAACAGAAGAGACAATATAAGCCATTATTTCTCTTAGTTAACTGCCACTTAATTTAACAAATAAAAATATTTAAAAAAATAGCCTCAATCAATTAATACACATTCATTCCATGCGAAAGGAATCGGGGATTGTTTTTCATTAGTTATTCATAAATGTTATAACTGCTCTGCTGGGGTCGGTCGGATCACGGGTTTATCAATTACGTTCACGACTGAAAAACATTCCATGTTAAAATTCAATCAAAGTTGACGTCTGTCGATTAGCACCAGCCACTGGGAGGTTCAATCCAAAAATGGTAGAAAAAGATCTACAGAAAAAAATCGAAAAACATTGAACCGTAAATATTTACCTATAAAAATTGTTTAAGCATTTTATGTTGGCACAGCAGTTGCCATAACGGAATATATACATACGATACGATACGTTACGTAAATATGGGGGAAAAGTTAAGGCGCAGACTTTATGTATATGTATTTTTTTTGGTGCGACAAAATTAAATTAAACATTTTTTATACCTCTCTTTGGTTTGGTTGGGTTCTGGATTTCCTGGGTTTCCCGGGGAGTTGCGTGGCTTGACAGGCGCCAGGCAAATAAATTTCTGTTTCGTTGGGTTGTGTATCGCATGACATATGCATCAAAGTGTGTGGCATGTGGCAGGGGGTTTTGAGGCGGCTTGGGGGCGTATCACATGCCTGTCGCAGCTGTCAATAAGTGCGCCGAGTCGACGTTAAAAATCAGGCATTAAAATATGCTGTTAAAAATGCAGATCATCTCCCCTATGCCCATACCCCAACTATGGTCTTTGTTAATGCGTTGCATAAGCCATAGCTGGCTGGGAGTGTTGCCACTTGCATGTGGCAAGTAAATTTAATGCGATACAAAAAGCAAACTTTGTACCGATTTGGGCATCGATATTACATGCTCCCACAACATCAGCCATACAAAGGAATGGCCAAAGTTTTGGCTTAATTTTAATTTGTTGCAAAGCTGAACGAAGCGAATGGGATGGGCATGGGGGTTGTCCAAATATGTAAATGGATAAGTGCATATGTATTTAAAGGAGAGGGTCGATCAGGATGTTTGAATACATGATGGATATTACAATTGTTGGATTCATTTTGACTTGTTTTGTTCTACCAGAACATCATCTCCCTTCTCCGAATGATTTCCTTTGAATGTCTGAATTTTGTTAACCAACCCTCGTATTGATGATTGCAAGGATGAGGCAAACGCCAATTGAATGTGTGGCCTGTAGCAGAGAAAAGTTTTTAAATAGTTACACAAACTGCAAAACGCTTTTCATTTTGCGCTCGGGCCAGCCAAAACGGATTTTCCAGCATTCTGGCCAAGCATTTGCCATTGCCATTGCACTTCGATTTCGATTTGGCTGCACAGAAAAGTACACAGAAGTTTTATGAAAGAAAATGAAATGAAAATCCTGATCCGAGTCGTCATTCCATTTGGCCATTCGCAATCCCTCAAAGCGTCTCAAACTAAACAAATCTTTAGTTTTTGGCTTCAACTTTGTGGAAACAATTAAATGGAATTTGATGTGAAAAAAACCCCAAAGAGAAAAGATTTCCGGGTCAGAATCCTTTAAGCAAACACTTAAAATCCAAGGAGCGGAAAGTTTCCTCTTTCCTGAAGCAATTAGCAGCTGGAAAGGAAATATTTTTCTACTCTGAAATCGAATCACACTCATTAGGACCTCCCGCCATGATTTGAGTGAATCGAATGTATTAATAAAATAATAATTAAATGTGTCAAAGTTTCCAAAGAGTAATTAATTATAATTATATAGACAAAACTTGACCAAATCACATCCACAAGAGCACACATCCCCAGGAAATTTGAGACGGTCGCAAACTCTGAAACAGTGAGGTCTACTTCTGATGAACAACATGAATGATAATATCCCTTGCAAAATGATTTTCGTACTCTATGAATGCTCGTCTAGGGTTTCACTGTTTGAGGCAAACAAAGAGCGCAAAACTTTTCTTATTGGCCCGCTCACATTAAATGTTTAATGGGCTTGGGTGACAAAGCACCTGCTCGTATAAGAACAAAAAAATATGTCCGACTTTGATGATGGCCAAAATAAATGTTAAATTCAAGTTAGTTTTGACCCAAATATGCCCTAGTTTTGTGGTAGTTCTAATAGAAAATAATAATTAAATCGTTAACTATAAGATAGTATGGAATAAGAATTTACTTCTTTTATTTCCATAAGTGCTTCCTCCCTGTCGATGCCTAAATTATATTTAATTCATTCCAACTTATACCACTCTTACACTCACATCTTACAGGGTATTCGATCCCACTCACCCATATACTTAGGTGCATGGACCTGTACCTGGCTGGAAAGTTTTGCTTAGTTTTGTTCTTTGGGGTTTGGGGTCACACCCAATCCATCAGTTAATAAAAATGTGACAAAATGAATCGTTAG